GTGATCCTTTTTTGGACGAGCCTACAAAGTAGTGAACGCTACTGTAACTCTCAAGAAGTTATTCCCGTGAACAGTAACGAGTACTTTGGTCTTATGTCTGCCCGCTGCATCTCCCACATAGAGGGATTTGCTGACATCTATGGCAACTTCACCATTTGCTTCTTCCAATTCCTTCCACATTCCGGTACAAGGTTTTCGATAGTGGCCTTCTCCAATTGATACAAATGCCTATAAAACGCTGTACTTAATAGGACGTTTCCTCAGGCACGAAAAACGTGATGAGGTGAAAAGTCATACCTGAGCTGGGACTCCGAGCTTGGTAATTATAGTTTCCACTTTACGCTTGAAACCATTTTTATCGACTTTTCCACTCTAAAATGCGGTAAGAAAAATTCTTTCAAGTTGATAATTTCAACCAAACATCAATCCCCAGTTTAAATTAAAACGAAGCAGTATGATACAAGAGGTTAGTTTAGTTTTAAGATTCAATGCTCCATATGGGGTGGAGGTGGTGCAGTGGCAAGAGGTGCTTCTCAGACTTGTAAGGATGAAAAACAATGACCTCCACTCAATGATTTGTACGTTGGGTGGCCGCGCAAGCCATTGTGAGCCACGCCAATCCGAAAAAATCTACAATTTTGAGTAGAAGAAAGGCGCATCCAAAGCAAGGGATGATCAATGCCGAAGGCTTTGTACCTCTTAAACCTTGCTCCACATCACAATGTCGTGAGTATATGAAGCTCTGCAACAACGGAGATAACAACCTAGATTACTTTACCTTCTGGTAGAATTTCAAAATGTCATAATCGATTACGTCTCTGAGAGTTACAGCTGTTCGCTGCGGATGTCGCGCGAAGCGTGTCATGGGGGGGAGGGGGAAGGTTGCCATCCCGCTAGCCCGTTGTTCTTCATTTTTTTCTTTCGACAAGCCCGGACTGAATCATGTCGTTCTTCGTGCCACTCGCTTTGCACCAGTTCTTGACGCTTACTTGCTTGAAAAACTGGCGGAGAACGGGTTGGTGGCGCCCCGACCCAACCTCTCTGACACACCCCTTCATCAGCAGTAAACAGACTTTATGTTAAACACAGAGCTGTACCGAGAAAACTGGAAAAACAAGGTTCCGAAATTGTGTAGATTTTCAAAAGTTCTAAAGAAGATAAGCAAGCGTTTGTTCGCCACTGATGAACTGGGTAATGAAGGAGAGCAGAATTATCCAGGGGCATTAGCAATGCCCGCCGCCCCAACTAAGAACAAGTGAGTGGCCTCCGTCGGAGGACATCTAGCAAGTAAAGGCGGTCCGACTGAGGAGGAGTTAGAACTAGCACTTTGAGCGGCTATAGCAGCCTCCACGCTCACAATAGAGTCGCGAAAGGTGAACAGTCTTCTAGCTTGGAGGCTAGACTACTTGCACAGCAAAGGCGACCACGAGCCACTTTGATCGCGGGGGCTGTCTTTAAGCATAGTTGTGTTCCACAGCGAAAGTGTGAGATCTGCCAATAGTGGGCTAAATTTGTGGAACACCTTTAGTTTG